CACAAACCATCAGTAAGGGTTACTTTATCAACACCAAAACAGAAATGTGTTCCTTTTCACAATAATTCATATTATACTGGATAGAATTCAGCATTATAATTTCTATTATAAGCCACTAAAATCTTTTTGTTATCATTATGCTCTTTTTCTTACCGATGCAGTTTCTTGGCCCTGCAGAAAAAGGGATGTATGCATATGGATGCCTCCCTTTGCTGTTCTCTGGCAGAAACCTTTCCGGTCGAAATTCCTCAGGTTCTGGGAAGTAACGTGGGTCCCGGTGAAGAGCATATGGTATGATAACAGCATTCACTCCTTTTGGGACTTTAAACCCATCTGCAACCGAGCAACACAACAACAGCAGTCTTTCAATTATGTTATTCATGTCACAGAGTTTTAACTGTTAAACAGGATTCAGCACACGCCAAACTATACCGCTGTGTGGGAGACAGAACAAAGCTTTAATAAATAATTGATAAACGGATGTGTTTATTGCGTTTTGCAACACTTTCCATCCTAAAAAGTTGCCGTTTTCCATCCAGCTGCTTTGGCGTGAATAAAAAGCTTAGCTCTGAGTAGAAATAAACACTCAGGTTGCTTCATATTTGCAAATGGGAGATGGAAATAGAAGCTCTGACATCTGCTGTTATGCTGAGATGCAAATAATGAGAGTGGCACAAAAAGTGCAGATCTTTGATCTCGTAGCACTGTTTGGCAAGGTGACAAACTGCTGCCACCTACTGATCTGACAGCTTTCGCAGATGCTGCGTGCAAACAGAGGCACGGAGGGGAAGATCCGCAGACTCTCCTTGATGACACACTCCAGGTAGCGCAGCTTTTTCAGGTCCTCAACCCCCACGTGGCGGTCTGACGAACCTGCCAATCAGAATGCAGGAGACGCAGCTGAGCTCTACAGTAAATGAGGTTGTTAGAAAACATTCACAAGCATCTAGATGCTTTCTTGACTACTGAGCAGAACAAATTGTTTTATTAAGAACACATGGTAGGTAGGCATTACGCTCAATGAAAGACCTATATACCGAACACTTCCTGTAGTTCTGCCTGCACTGCCTTCAGGACCTCAGGATGGGAGCCAATCAGATGTAAAGCCCAGTTCATTGAAGCTGCTGTGGTATCATGACCCTGTCAAAGAGAACGGTTCTTCAAACAATCTTCTGTCTTGACAGAGTTTCCTTTGGTAGTTTTATTTATACCTCAAACATGAAGGTGTCCACTTCCTCCTGAATGTCATCATGACTCAAATTCTCTCCATCCTCATAAGTAGTTTTTAACAGCATATCTAGGAAGGCCTGTCTTTTCCTCGGCCCCTGGTCAGAATCACTGTCAGGTTCAGAGCTCATGGACTTCGATCTTTCCTTGATGACCTTCAGGAAAACACAGAAAACTCTGTAAGAATGATCTGGAGGCTTGTATTTGACGGCCATCTGTCTTTTTTTTTGGAAAGTGTGTGTGATACAGAACAGAAATAAATCACTTAATTTTCCTGAAGCAACCTTATCTTGACACTACATTGTGTGTTATTGTTAAATATAATAATTTTCAAAAAATATTTTTTGTCAATTGAAACAATGCTGAAATAAATTTTAAATATTAAATGAAAAACCTGGCAAGTAAAATCATTTAATTTCTAAAATTACTAAAACTAAACTGAAATAAAAATAAAGCTAAATAGCAACAACAACAAAAATATATAAATACAAATATTTAAAACTAATAAAAGCACATAACACAATTACTAAAACTAAAATTAATACAGAAAATATCAAAATAAAAGCTAATTCAAAATATGAATAAATTCTACAGTAGTTAATTCAGGATAATTGAATAATTTTTTCCTAGTCATCTCAAAGGCAAAAAGTGTCCCAGTGTTTTTATAAATAATAACGCTGATCACTCACACTTGCAGTGAAGGAGTGAAGAATTCTCAGTCTTCTAGAATGTTCTTTGCCTTCCTCTAACATGTTGTAGATCCAATCTGGCCACAGCCATGGTGCTCTCTGTCTCTTGGTGATGATGTCACTCATTCTGCGGGAGGAATATAAACACTGTCAGAGAGAACAACATATCTCTATTTATTAGCAAGAACATATGCTCTACCAATGAAGTACACTACTTACTTATAGACACTTTGCACATACTCAGAGTCAGAATTGCTCTGAGCATAGATCTTCTTTCCCATTGCAGTTTCTGTTGCCAACACACACATCCCATGTATCATCAACAGTTATTATAACTAAACAATAAGCATAAGGCCTTTTACATTAGCATGCATGTACATGCAAACAGCAAAACCCCATATTGTGCTATCACACTATATGGAAAGACTGAATGTACTGTACCACATATGATGTCCAAAGCACATAATGTTATGTAGCTAAAGCAGTTGAATGGCTCTCCGTCTATGTGCTTCTGCATCATTTGAATCAAAATATCGGTTTGTTCATTCATCACCTCTAGGAAGTCAGAGAGGATGGAGAAGTGGAAGGTTGGAGTCAGCATTTTCCGCCGGTTCCGCCACTTCTCCCCTGTGCTGTTGGAAGAAAAGTTGGGAAGAGTCAAGTCTGTGACCTCAACATGGCTTCACTACTGTAAAGTGAACATGGAGATAATTGTATATTCAATTTCGGTGTTTCTGGACTCTGCTGCATTTGGACAGATGGTCAGTGACCATCCAGCGTGGCTGATTATAAACTACTGTGCTTTTGATAGACTTTGTTTGCAGTGCTTGATGCAAGCTGCTTTTGAATATGAGATATGAGATCTGCCGGTTTGGCAGGTGGGCCTCTACCGTATGTGAAACAAAGTTTAGTTTGACTTTAAATGTTATGACCTTTGAAGGACAGGATTGCAGCTTTTTTAAGATAACAGAGAGATATAAGACAGCAGTACTCTTAAAACTTGTTAAATATTAAGCGTGGTATCCTTTCTAGCATCACCAGTTGCAAATATAACAATGTTTTTAAACATTATGTTAAAATTCTGGGTATGATGATTATTGTTCTGGACACTCATTTATTCAGGTAAAACAATAAACCTTTAACGTTAATACTGCTCAACATATAAGCATAAATATAACAATAATAGGAATATTTAACAAGTGTTTTTTTTTAACATTTGTTTTTCACAAAACTGTATTTTAGATATATTTTTTTAATTAAATGTAAATTTAAAAATATATGTATTTATATATATATTTTTGGTGGTTTTCTGAAGCTCAAACACAATTGTGCCGATATGCAAGATGCAAATGCACATGCATGAACTGATTTACACCTTCAATGCAGTGTACATTTCTTAGTCTGCCAAATACTGTACAGTACATAAATATAAAAACCCTCAGAAAGTACTGAAATAACAAAATAAATATATATTTTTAAATACTTTATTTATTTATTTTTAATTTTGGGTTTATGCACCTGCCTTTAACCATGATTTATTTTCCAAACACTCCCCTCATCTACAATTGGTCGAAGAAAGAGATAATCCCGCCCCAAACGCACTCAATTGGTTAAACCACTATTGCTGTGTCAAGCTGGTCAGATGAAGTCCCAGTGTTTACACATGTTGGGTAAAATTAGTCTACAAATGAATGGCATGCTTACAGTTTGTCTATTATTAAACTATATTAAGATGGAATAAATTATTTAACTGAATTTACCCTATTCATCTACATAATACTTCTACAAATCATGTATTATGTTAACAGTGTGCATTACAACAGACTGTTTTCATAAAAACTTGTGGTAAACCCACCGTAGGCCTACCTGGTGAGCAGGCCTGTGCCGAGCCAGGGGTGCAGGAACCTGTATGCGAATGACTTGTCTAGGTGTCTAGAATTACTGAGGACCACCTGATGGGAAAACATAGGTTTGAGAATGAACTGGAAACTGTGAGGAAAATTATACAGAAGTAAATGGAAAGGATCAAAATTCAGTAACAGGCACCTCAATATTCTCTGCGTGATACAAGATCAGAAAGGGGACTGGACCCACCCAAACCTTTGCTAGAGGAAGGTGTCTGTTTTCATTTGTGCCCTCAATAATCTGGTTGAAAAAATCTTCAACAGAAACAAACTCAAATTGCAGTGTTGCAAATTGCAAACTCAAATTGCAGTGTTAAATGATCGTTGTTAATTAAGAGTTGATGCTACTCAAAAAGAACAGTCTCTTACCGCCTGCATTGGTTTTAAACTGCAGTGCATTGCCAATGATTGGATAAGCGCCCGGCATTCCTGGAATTGGTCTCATTTCGTTCCATTTTCCTATATAATTTTTAAGTGGATGATATGTAGTAGATGCTAAAAGGAGTAAAAGAATGGCTGTGAATATAATCCCCAAGATGTATAATCCAAAAAGGACACCCATTTTGTTTGGATGAAGCTGGCCGCAGCTAATGCTCTGAAAGAAGCGCACCGGCTGCTTCACTGTGAACTTCAGACTTAACTGATTCACTTGCTTAGTACAAACAGAGAGAGAAAAAACACCCTAGGCTGATCAAACAGATGGCGTTTTGATACGTAACTGGGACGCATGCAGGTTATCTGTGGGTAAAGTGCCTCTCGCTAAAACATTAACAGACAGCAGTGCTAATGCAGCAATAGATAATGATCTGGCATATTATTGGTGGATCTTTTGTGTGTCTGTTGTTTGTGTGTGTTGTGGTTTACTGGCACACATTCTGCCATCTTTCTCCCACGGAAGAGCTCTGCCAAGTCTTTTGTTAAAGATAGAAAAGCACCTTTCACTCTGAATAGCCAATGGATTTAATTCTTCAAAATGATATTAAAGTATGATACTTTTTTGATATTATTGTTAAGAAATTCAGGGAACAAACGTCTAATATTCTCTGTTGATCGCTGTGATATATCACTGAACCTTTGCCAAATTATATAACAATTTTATTGCAAATGACTCCACCAAGCAGATAAAAGTCTCAATAAAATTTTACTGAACACAACAGTTTGTTAGAATTGGTATCACCGAAAAATAAATAATTAGGCTACGAATCATTTTTAATCAACCTGTTGGCCGCAGACATCTATTTAAGCAGTAAAAACAAATAAATATGATACTTTACATGATAAATGCATTAACTTACAATAACAAAAAATGTTTGGCATTCATCCTTCATAATTTTATAAAAGGAAATACCGGGGATGCTCCAGATGTTGAGGTCAATGTGAAGTCCATAAACTGTGACTGGACATCAGGTAACAAATTATACATTGAATCACAATCAAGTGATATTATGACAGTGCATATCAGTCAATAGTATTCATTATGTCTGGCTCATTAAGCTCTTTCGTTTAATTACAAAATTAACTACCCTGCTATTGCATGACAGGCTGAAATTTCTTCCTCACATACACTGGAAACCGGCTCAGCTGTTTCCGATGATTCTGGCCACCTGAAAGCAGACGGTATTGATGATTTACTCAGACTTGATGAAATATTTTCATTATGTGAATCTCTTCTCTACCAGGAATGTGCGTTATTGAACACATTAATTAATCTCCAGTGTCCCAAAAGCTAAATAAATACAATAATTCTTTCAAAGAACTGTCATTGCTTATTTTTCTGGATCATTTATTTGTTGATTCTATGCAGTCTATGGAGTATAGACTGCAAAGTTAATTGGTTCAGGCTTTAAAGATAGAATTGTATATTAAGTAAACATAAACAAAGGGCAACTGATTTAAACAATGTGACATTAACTAATAAAATGTTGTTTTTATATTAAATTAAAAATAACAAGCAGTAGCGCATTGACCTGTAGAGCCGAGCAGAGGCATGTTCCCTCCGTCTCCATCAGCGCAGGGTAGACGCCTCCTGCTGGGTGTGACACACTCCAAGAACCCACTAGCTGTAGAGCTGGTGATGCCCATACTGAAGCCTGTCACTCCCATAGTTGTGCTCTCACCTAAGAGACATACAGAAAAAGCTTACACTGTCTTCTTATTTTTCTTATATGACTTATTTTTAGGAAGTAAAAATGTAGAAGGCAAATCCACGGTACTGTATGTTTGTGTTGTTCCTCGTGCCACTGGCCAGATCAGGCACATACTTTGTACAAGTGACCCACCTTTGACAAGTCTTTGACTTGTCCTCATGTTACAGGCAAAATCCATGGGTGTGAAGGACCTTTTCATAGGGGTGTCGGACTACAGAACAAAAACATGGCATGAGTTACGTCTAACAATAGACTCCTCCGTATTTACCTCCTATTTCGAGCACTGTTACTACAGCAGTGTCTGAACCAGGAAAGTATCTATATCACTTCCTTGTCGGAGGTGGTGTCATGTTTCTACGAAGTTGTGTAGAAATGCAGTTTTGGTTTTGTTCTGTATTAAACTGCTGGTCACCTATAGTTATAACTGCCTAACATCTAGCTATAACTGCCTAACAATGACTACTCCTGACTGTATGTGTACGTCGTCAAGACTTCTCTTCAATGTATGCATTGTCATCTGCAATGTATGCTGTTTTCATCCACACTACTGTACTGTAATCATAATTGTAGGGTAGATTTACTCTGAATGTGTGAGTAGTATTGGGCCGAGACAGAGACTCCAGCATCAGGGTGGGCTCTCTCAAAGGTGGGAGGTTGTTTACTGTGTGCATGACACTGGTAGCGCCGCCTCTTAGGATCCTTCCTCTGAGCTAAGAAATACAGAGAATGATTACAGCTTTGATTCTGTGCAGACGGAATAGCCAACCATCTTTAAATACACCTTTACTTACACAGATTGTTTTTTGATACTTTGAATTTTCTGTAAAAGGGCAAAGGGCAACCATGTTTACTGTTTCCAAAGTCAAGTCAGCCAGTTTGCCCCTTTCACCCATTTTAAAAAACCACTGCTATCTCTGTTTACAGAGATCAAAGTCCACACAGCTAGCTTTTATTTAATGGGATGCTGAAACACCTTTCTGCTTGTGAATTTACACAAACGTTGTGTACAACTGTGGAAAGGTTTCAGATAGTTTTCACCATGATGTCAAATAAATTCAAATCTAATTTAAATGAGATAGCTATGCAAATATTCTTTTTTTTTTTGAGAAAAGCAAATGTTTAATCACTATAATGCATGCTTCTCAAATAACAAAAAATTTAACATTTATGAATTAATATAACCACTCCATCTGTCTGCAAGCACATAATTGTGGAATAACATTAACCATGAAGAACATATGTTCTGTCTTTAAAACCCAACCAGATTAAGTCATCTTTGTAGACAAGATGTTACATAAACATTTGATGCCTACCTAACACATACACTGCTTGAAAATGCAATTTTTTTCAGGTTTTGAAAAGTCATATCTTGATGGTTGGTCAGTGGTCAATTTGGTTTCAATAGAGGTGTGAATGACAAGGTTAACATAGACTTTATCACTTATAACTAGCATAAGGCAGTGGAAAAAACCACTGCTATCTCTGTTTACAGAGATCAAAGTCCACACAGCTAGCTTTTATTTAATGGGATGCTGAAACACCTTTCTGCTTGTGAATTTACACAAACGTTGTGTACAACTGTGGAAAGGTTTCAGATAGTTTTCACCATGATGTCAAATAAATTCAAATCTAATTCAAATGAGATAGCTATGAAAATATTCTTTTTTTTTTTGAGAAAAGCAAATGTTTAATCACTATAATGCATGCTTCTCAAATAACAAAAAATTAAACATTTATGAATTAATATAACCACTCCATCTGTCTGCAAGCACATAATTGTGGAATAACATTAACCATGAAGAACATATGTTCTGTCTTTAAAACCCAACCAGATTAAGTAATCTTTGTAGACAAGATGTTACATAAACATTTGATGCCTACCTAACACATACACTGCTTGAAAATGCAATTTTTTTCAGGTTTTGAAAAGTCATATCTTGATGGTTGGTCAGTGGTCAATTTGGTTTCAATAGAGGTGTGAATGACAAGGTTAACATAGACTTTATCACTTATAACTAGCATAAGGCAGTGGCAAACGTTAAACCCGTCAGATTGTGTTTGTGAAATATGTATGTTTCATGTATGTACACTACCATTTAAAAGTCAGGGGTCAGTCAGATTTGTAATGCATTAATATTTTAATAAGTCTTATGTTCCCCAAGGCTGCATTTATGTGATTAAAAATACAGTAAAAATAGAAATATTGTGAAATATTATTACAATTTAAAATAGATGTTTTCTATTTGAATATATTTCAAAATGTAATTTATTCCTGTGATGGCAAAGCTGAATTTTCAGTAGCCATTACTCCAGTCTTCCGTGTAACATGATCCTTCAGAAATCTTTCTAATATGCTGATTTGCTGCTCAAGAACATTTCTAAAAATGAGCAATTGTTAAAACAGTTGTGCTGCTAAATATTTTGTGGAAACTGTGATACATTTTTTCAGGATTCTTTGATAGATAGAAAGTTCAAATGATCAGTATTTATTAGAAATAGACATTTTTAAACAGTGTAAACGTCTTTCAGTTTTATATCAATTCAATGCATCCCTGCTGAATAAAAATATTAATTTCTTTCAAGGAGAAAAAAAAATCTTACTGACCCCACACTTTTGAAAGGTAATGTATGTAAGTGTTAATAAATAAATCAAGGTGGTGACACATGAATCTCTTCAGAAAAGGCAGATCAATAGTCTGCTGGCCACAGTGATGCCAGTGTGGCTTGTTACCTGCATAAGCCTGGAAATAGGTGCATAGTATTCTTGCTCTTGAGACTCAGAGTGTGTCTGAGGAAGCCTGTGGCTCTGAACGGCACTTACTGGTGGAGAGGGCAGGCTTTCATTCACAGTGGATCTGCAAGAAACAAACCCAAGAACACATACTTACTCTAATTAGCAGTCTGCATGTATACCCCTGCAGGAGCTCAAGGCTACGTCTGTGATTTTTCAAGTGATGACAAGGTTAAAAGTGTTACAATTAATAAGGTGCAATGCAGCTTGAGGGACCAATTTAACAAGCACTTTTAAAAGAAGTCTGCATTTCAAAAGAATGCCTCGACCTGTTATAACAGGACCCCAGTAGACCTTGCATTCAATAATCTGCAGCCACATATTCTGAAAGAGTTGCATCATGCATAAAGGAGTTGCTGCAACAGAACCTCTCATATCACATTCTTTACGTAAAACTTGTGAGAATAGAAAATGGTGCACGCAGAGGTATAGTTCACCCAAAAGTTTTAAGAGGAACCCAAAAGAAGAAATTACACTTCATGCAGTTACAATGAATGAGGACTAGAGCTTTCAAGCTTCAAAAAGAATATGCTACAAAAGTGTCATAAAAGTGGCCCATATGTTCTGTGCATTACATTCTAGAGCCATATGATAAACAGACCAGGGTCATTAATTACAGCCTCCCCCTCCAGGGAGCTGTTGACCACCTCAACTGGATCAGTGAGTCAGAGAGCTGAACTTAAGAGCTGAATTGGTATGATTTGTTAACACAACATTCAGACCAGTTTTTGTGAACTGTATGAACTGATTAAAATGCAAATATCTGACTCAAAACAACAATTTGTTCACAGTTTGTTAAATTGAGTTGGATAATAACAATTGTCTTCTATAGAGCTGCTTTATAGCTGAATAAAATTTTGTTTAATAAATAATGAAATCTGTAGTATTAACACTCTTAATGAACTGTTATACTGCTGTGGCCCAGTAAAATACTATTGATAAATCCTTATGTGACAATTGGATTGATGTACAGTTTACCGACCTGAGAATCATTTTATTTGATAATATCTCAACAATCATGTCATATGTGTTTTCTATCCGCTGTTTATAATCAGAAATGGTGATGCCAAATTCACAAATAAAACAATCTTTTGATCTAATTGGTCAAATGCATTTGCAGAGCTGAAATGGTTTGAGGCTCAGTTGATTCATTCATTCAGTTCACATATTTGCAGTGATTTCTCACACCGGAATAGTAACAGGATATTGTATGAGACAGAAATCTAAACGAGCGCTGATTGAGGTGGATATTTACCTATAATACATTGCACTTGTAAATGTCACTTACAAAGCAGCTCTTTATTACATGCACAGCTTGTGAACAATTCTGTACTGCAGATAGTATGATGTATATCAATTTATATCCAAAACAGTATTTAAAAACAATATAAAAATAAAGGCACACTTGTTGAGTGTCGGCCTGTGCCTCTGTACTGGTAAAAGGCTAGAAAAGCCCCTGTTCATAACTAATGAGCTTTGCAACATTAACACTGTTATTGAATAATGATACTATTTTATTTTTTATAGCTGCTTTACAGCTGAAATCACGTTTCATAATTTAAGTACTTTAAAACATTAGGTTACACTTTCCTTGAAGGGGTGTGCATAAGACTGACATGACACCTTCATGACACATGTCATGAATATGAAGGTTTTTTATGCATGTTTATGACAACTGTCATTAAGTGTCATTCACTCAGTTATGTAATTTTTAATGCAAAGCTGACATTGTTTGAGATGTCTTTGTTATGGGCTATGGTTAGGGGTAAGGGTAGGGGTAGGGGTAGGGTTAGGTTAGGGTTAGGTCAAATAATGTCATATTTGCATTAAAAATGACATAACTGAGCGAATGCCACTTAATGACAGTTGTCATAAACATGCATAAAACCTCCTTCATATTCATGACATGTGTCATG